ATTCCCTTGCTTAAGATATGCACCCCAATTTTGGTGTGCTGATTTTTTGCAGGAAACGTGTATGTGGTATGCAGGCAAATAGAATATATGCTTACCATCTGATCTCTCTGATTCCCAGATTCTTTACAGAGTTCAGACAGGACTGACAACCAGCTCTTAATAGCTTCAGTATGCATGAGGCAGTTCATGTTCTAGAAGGTCTGCATCTTTTAACTATCTATTTCAAAACCCTTTCTTCCCAGATCTGTTATACTACAACAGATGGAAGATTCTCTACGCAGACCTGAATTATACCTTCCATGTCACAGCCTGGGTGTCGGATGGTCTTATCTTTGCTGGTCTGGAACAATCCTGCCTATAGCCAAGAAAAATCCCTAAGTAGACTTGTCTCACTAAGTGGATAAGCAAATCACTTAAGTGGATATGATTATCTTACTGGGGCAAGGTGAATTCCCTAATGCTAAGTAGGAGATCAATATCTATCATCCATGGCCGTGTGTAGATGAAATGAGAGGCGTGTGTACGTGACACTTTAAAGCAGGCTAAATGCTTTTGCACCGCTTTAATGGTGTCCGTGTTTGCACGCCTCAGTGGCCTATTGTGCATTAATTCCAGCCGCTGTAGGAAATTAATTCCAGCTGCTGTAGGAAATTCAGCAGTGTAATGCGCTTTAAATGACTTGGGATGCAGCAAACTAAAAGTCCTTGGAGGAGTTTTAGTTTGCTGCCTCTACAGCTGTGGAGCAAAGCACTGGACTCTGTTCAGCTCCATGGCTCTGCAGGAAGTCCTGCAGGCAGGCTGACAGTAGCCCCGGAAAGCAGCTCCAACCAAGAAAAAGCAGTGAGCCTGACCCTTTTTTCCCTCCCCCTGGAGCCTACCAGCCTGCCTGCCTGAACTGTGCGGTGGCCTGGTGCTTCCCTCTGCGGCTGCAGTGTCCCCCAGGACCACCCGAGCCAGGTGCCTGCGGGAGGGTGCTGCCTTTATGTGTGGGGGGCGCAGCTGCCAGGGAGGGAAGCACCAGTCCCTCCCCCACAGTCCAGGGGCTGCTCCCCTCATTGGCAGCTCATCTTCCCCTGCCCCTAGAGGCAGGTAAGTCAGCGGGGTGTGTGCATGGGGTGGGGGGAGGGGGTCAATCATCCCTAAGGCGGTGTTTTTTTAAAAAACACCACTTCAATTTAGGGCCCCCTTTCATCTACATTACTTACACCTACACAATAGGTAGGTTATAGGACTGACCTGGGAAAATAAATTCATAACTTACTGGACACCCAGAGCCATAGACTTAAGTGATAGGGTTTTTAGCTTATTTTAACTTACCTCTTGCCTTTCCCTGTCACAGGCAAGACTCAGACAGGGTGTGTGGGGGGACAGGATTTAGTGGTAAGGGCAGAAGCCTGGGAAATCTAAGAACCAGAGATCACAAGCCTGAAGTCCAAGGGCCAGCGTGTAGGCAGGGATGCAGAAAAAAAGCTTAAGATTAGGAGCCAGACAGTATTTCAGGGAGCCAGACTTGAGAGAAATCACAGCAAGGAATCAGCTGCTAGACAGGTTGAAAGCCCACTGAGCACTACCAGGGCTGCTGCCTATATGTAGCAGCTTCACATAAGCATTTGTTTGACGGCCACCTGGGGGCTGTCAGGCAGCTGCAGCCAGTCCTGTCCAGGTGACCAGTGCTAGCTGAGGGCTTGTCAGTGATCCTGACTCCTGAAACTCCCTCTGCTAACTTCTCTTTCTTCACAATTGCTTACTTTCCAAGTGGTAAAATGCATTAAGGTAATTAGGTTAAACTAAAGCAATTGTTCTAAGATGTACTTGGCCTGGATTATAATTGCTTTCCAACTTGTGATGTTTGAAACCTCAAGGCTTATTTCCTCTCTCTCCCAACTATACAAGTTGATCCCACAAAAGATATTACCTTACCTCACCTCTTCTGGAGTTGAAACAGAGAGCAACCAATCCCCAACACTTGGCTAAATTCCATTTAGCAGCCATCTTGGGTTACCACTCACCAGTACTGGGCAGGTGGTGTTTTCCTACAGCGCTTGGTTTAAAATCTTGAAAGATCTGACCAGTGTAGTCCTCCTTATTTTTATGAAGCCACCATTTGATCTACTGTCATTTGTGTAATTTGCTACATATGTCAATGAAGATGACCTTGGTTGCTTGGCAAGAAGTGGCAGGTGAGATTCATGTCCTAGGCCCTATGCAATTTTCCATCCAGATAAAATATTCTTATAGACGCACCCCAGATTCCTGCTGCAGGTGACCATGGAACACCACCCTAAACCAGCACACCCACTCTCCATTTTTTCCATTGCAAAAACCTTGCACGTTCATGAGGGCAAGCTCCATTTCCTGGACATAAGACTGTGCTTTGGCTTTCTGCTGACAAATGAGGGAACCACTGAGATCATCTTCTCTGTCTAGCCATAGTGGAGAGAATGCAGGGTCTGGTGATATCTACTCAGTGATTTTCCAGGCTACCAAATAGCCAAGCTGTGTTTTGATATGATTATTAAAACATTCTCCACAAGAACCTAAGAAGCATTTGCATCGTTATAGAGAAACATGTCTCCTAGGCATCTGTAAAGAGTCTACTTGGAGCTCTCTTCACATATTCACAAACCACTATGAAGTTTCTGAAGTCTCCCCAAATTGGATTTAGCATTTGGCAAAGTAGTCTTCATTCACTCTTCTCTTGAGACTTTGATATCATCCCCGATGCACAATTACAGATCTGCACAATTGGATTTTGGGAAAGCTTATTAAATAGCAACATCCAAATTCAGCTGTAGCATGAAGAGGAAATACCAGACATTTTAGTCCTTAGCTAACATATAGTCATATCTTAGTTACTGTTAGAAAGAGGACAGTAGATATAGTCTAGGTACTTCCTGTTTTTTTTTTTTAAAGCTAGAGTTATTTGTGTCCTGTCCTTTAGAGTTCTCTGTACCTTAGAGAGAATTTTAATTTCTGTCATCTTTAACCTGTTCTGTATGTTTTGAGCCCATACAAAAATTGCTACAAAGTACATCTTGCTACTACTGCATCCTACCCTGGCTTTATACTGCAGACCACCTGCCCCAGCGTTATTTGTCTTCCCAGTATAATTTTGCAAAAAAATGCCTAGTTCCCCTTTAGTAAAAGATGTAATGACTCAAAGTACTAGCTCTATCATCAGCCATGGAGAAATGAGTGGCTTTTCCTTAATTCCACTTCTGAGCATTCCCTTTCCCTAATGTCAGGGGATGTCGCCTGTGTACCTGGCTTCTGTTAAACTGGAGGAAGAAAATACTGAGGGAGTGGGGTGGGGAGGGGGAAGAGAATTTTGCTATTTATTCCAAGGGTGCAGGATTTCACCTTAAAATAGAATCCAAGTCTTTTAAAAATTCAGAGCACTGCCCTAGGAGACAATCAGCTTTTTATTTTTATTTTTCCTTTGTTATTTTTTACATGCTTTTCATCACAGCTAGAATAGGTGACTGAAACTATTAAAAAGTGTACATGTTAGACAGAATCAGTAATGCCAACTATTGTAATACTGTCACAAGACTCAGGATTTCAAAGTCAAAATAACTGCAGCTCTCAATCTCCCAATCCAACCCTCAGATTTCCAGATTTTCCTAGCTGGTAAGTGGAGGAAAAGGGGTGAGGGGAGAGGGAAAGGGTCGGGGGGAGCGTGATCGAGGCCTCTGCAGTGAGGGAGGGAGTGGGGCAGGAGCAGGGGCAGGGATGAATGGGGCCCTGGGTCCAGGGCGGGTCCTCCAGAGGTGGAAGGGCAGAGGCAGGCTAACTGTTGCGGGCTGCGGCTCTGCACCCTGCTGCCTTGCCCAAGGAGCTCAGCCGCATGACCCTAGTGTGCCTCCTGCCACTGGGCAGGTAGGGGATGTGCCAGTGTGCCCCATGTCTTCTACCAGCCTGGCAGGCAGCAATGGCATCACGCAGCTGAGCTCCTGGGGCAAGGCAGCAGGGTGCAGAGCCCCAGCTCACCTCTACCTTGCAGGGGGGCACGTGGCCCCATGCCTCCCCTGTGGGTGTACACTACTGTGGGGGGGCCATGCCCCTCCCTCACACCTCTGGACAACCTGCCCCAGTCCTGGGGCCCCATTTATTCCTGTTCCTCCCCCACTTCCTCCCTCCCTCCCTGTGGGGCCTTGATCTGCCCCCGCCATGCCCCTTCCCTCCCCACCACCCCCACTTCTGCCTAGTCCCCTTCCCTCCACTTACCAGCTGGGTGTTGTCTGTGTGTCTGTCATTGGCTCTGTGTCAGTCTTTCTGTCTGCTCCTTGCTCCCAAGCCACAGCCCACCCCACCGTGCTGCTGCTTCTCACTCCACACCTATAGTACCCTGCATCCTGCCAGGGTGTGTGGGGACCCCACACACACCCACAGCCCCCAACATCTTCCCAAATACCACCCCCCAACCCCACACATACTTCACAAATAGCATCTCATGATATATGTGGCAATCTCTTGATTTTTTTAAGAGTTCGTCTCATGATTTTTGGCATGGTGGGGTTGGCAATGCTGCAGAATTTCAGTCTTGTTAGGCTCTCAAACCAAACAGCAGCATTCCATTTTACAAATAAATTAATTAGGTTCTGCTGTTGCAGGGAACTATTTAGGGTTGACAGTCCACCAGCACAAAGTAATAGGACTGGGACCATAAAATAGTACTTTAAAATGCATATAGAAAACAGAAAATCAGTGTAGTGATGGTGAATTTTGAACAATCTCAGACAGAAGTTTTTTGTTTTCCATATCGGTAAATCCAATCCTCATCCTCCTTAGTTGCTTGTTTCTTCCCCCTCCCCAAAGTTGTTGGTGTTGTATCAACAGTAAGTGTTTATTCCAGGTGACAGATAACACAAAAATGTTTCTAAGTAGAGACAATATAAAGATGTTATTTCTTGCTATCTTGAAGTATACCTTTTGAAATCTGGGCTATTTTGAAATGATCAGTTGCATTTCTGTTAATTTCTCAGTTTTCTCCCCCACAGGTCATTTTGCAACCTGTACTGGCAGCAGAAGATTTTAGACTATTCAAAGAAATGATGGTACAAAAAAATATTGAAATGCAGCTGCAAGCCATTAGAGTCATTAAAGAGAGAAATGGTAAGAAGCAATAAATGAGAATTTATAGTTTTTTGTTTATCTTTTCAGCTGTTCTGAGAGCTATGTAATCTGGATAAGTAAGGTAAAATCCTGGCTTAGTTGAAGTCAATGGCAAAACTTCCAGGCCAGGATTTCACCCTTACTCTACAACTGGTTCTGTCAATCACAGCTTTTAAAAGGGAAATAAAAGTTAGTCAAAGCCTGTTAGACTATTTTATGAAATTTAAATATAATTTAGTTTAAGAATTGTGCAGATCAGTATGGGGTATTACAACAGCACCTATAACTTGGTGCAACATGATTGTTATCTGGAGTACAACAACCAGTGTCAAGCTGGCCACTCTCTCACTCCATATAGAATAAAGACTGATGGATTTGCAAAGCAGCAAGTTCCCTTTGTGCTTACACTTACCATAGTCTCAAACCTCTCTATGTAGCTGCACAGCAAGTTGTGTTCAAGGGGATGCACATTCAAATATTATTTTGTCACCCTATTACTTTAATATACCTGTGTATACTCAGTAATTTTAGCACGATTATCTTCCAGGCTCTTCTCTTAGTTTTTTATCTCAACAAGCTCAAGCTTTCCTGAATCTCAAAGTTTAGTAATTTCCTTCTTACTATTTGCTGTGTCTATAGCAGAGGATTGCATGTGTAAGTTTTCTGATTTTATTCAGAAAAATTGCATATCATCATTTAGAAAGATGTCTGATTTTTTTTTTCTTAACCATGAGGATATAGGACAAACATTAATTACATTAGTTTTTAAATTATTTTGAAATTCCAAATTTTAAGCCAGCATTAAAATAATACCTGTGAAAAGGAAAGAAGCAGCAGGGTGGATTTGATTTAAGTCAAATAGATTTAAATCATGACTTAAATCACTGGTCAGGAAGCCTAGGTTTAATCATTGATTTCTACAAACAGTGCATTCTTGTTGTTGGATATCCTTTACTCATTTAACTTTTTGAAACTTTGCATTTTTAGAGAAAGGTAAAGGGCTTGACTGTGTGTACATAAACCTGCAGAGAGCCAATAGGGCTGATGGGTGGGTAATCAGGTCTGTTATCTCTCATCTTCATATACTGCTGTTAACAAGGATGTAATCTCTGGAGACAACAAACTCTCCCTATGCCTGAAGAAGGGCATTTGTGCCTGAAAGCTTCAAAGAATATTTTTTCCAACTATTTATTTGGTTTAATAAAAGATATCGCATCTACCCAAAGGACCTTGCTTGTCTATGATCTCTGGAGAGACAAGTCCACAGCTTGAGAACTGAAACTAGACATCACACAGAGATGCTTAATGTGATCTTCTAGACTGAGCACTGAGTCCCATTGGGTAGAGTGGTTTTCTTTAATCTTTACTAATCTATAGAGAAGCCTCTGGGAACTCCATAAGATTGGGCCCCTAATATAGTCCATGGCCTGTTGTGACCTATTTAAAAAACTTCTAAAAAGGTTACATGACTATATTGTCTCAAATAGAATATACTAATTGCTATTCCATGATGATATCTCTGAGCTTTAACATATATAAAATTAAAACTATCTTTATATATTATTTTTAAAAGCATCTTGAATTTAAAAAAATGATTAAATCAAATACATTCTAATTTAAGTAACAAGCCCAATTTTTTTAATCATTTTTTATCCACTGAGAAGATAAGTAAGAAGAGGCAGCAGGAAATTAGGTGGAGGCTCTGTTCTCAGCTGTAGCTGAGCTGAGCATGGCTCCATGCAGAATTGCCCAAGGCAGAAGTGGTATAGGTTGTAGTTGTCCAGTTTCTCCAAGTGCAGTGCCTTGTACATGTTGAGGGAGAGTTGCTAGGTCTGTTTTCTGTGTGGTATCAGTTGTTTGTCTTTTTAAACCATCACAAAGGAACTAGTTTAGAATATAGATTGGGACACAAAAGAGAAACAAAAATATAAGGTTTTTTAATATTCTTTATTTACAACACAGTAGGCATATATACATGACACTGCATCACTGTAGCAACATGCTATGGCCAAAAACTGTGACACCACATCTACGTCGCTGTAGTGACACGCTCCCTCGGTATAGTGCGTTGCTATGGTGACATAGCTGCTAGAAATAAGCATGTGCCCTGCTGACAGTGTAGTATGAGCTGTTACTTTGCCATCATTTAGTACTTTATTTCGGAAGTACTAAATGACGGAACAGTAACGACAGTGCCATAGGAGCATGTGTAGACATACACACTTAGACACATACCTATACGAGATAAATAGAACGGCAGCAGAAGGACATACACATTTCAAAGTCATACTTACAAAGTTAAATGTTAGAATGAAGGTTGTTTGTGCAGGCTTAATTTGGTCCCCTTGTGTGTTTGCATTATGATATAGTCTTCACATGATTGCATCATATTTTTTCTACAGTTACCTGCTTCTTTCAGTGCACAGAATGAATAACATTCACTGAATAGGTAGCAATTCAGTCTTTCTTTTTTTTCTTATTATTCTGTGTGTGACCCCATGCCATATTTATTACACATGATCCAACTGCACTACAGAATAATTAATTTTTTATGGTCTTTTGTAACTTTCATTGTCATAATATCCCAGTATTTAGGGAACATAGGATTGGAAAGAAACTCATGGGCCATCAGATCTACTCCCCCGTATTTTCGTATTCCTTAGATAAGATTACTTGCAATTTATTTCTCTGCCGATATCTTTCCGATAGGATATTTACCCCCCCTTTCAGACTTAGGGTTTTATCCTTTTATGTTGCTTTTTGCAGTTAGTTTTACTAACTGCGAATTTTCAGTGTGGTTGATTTGTTACTTATGAGTGTCACCAACCAAAGAGCTAAGAAACTGGTTTCTGAGGCAGCTATGGGTTCTTATAGCTTGGGGAGATGGCCTGTGATGGTCACTGAAGCATGTACCTCTTGCTTTGCCTGCTCTTCCTCTTCCTTGAGACTCAAAACTTTAGCACTCGGAGGGTATGTCTACAAAAGACATTTATTGCTGAGTTATCTGATTAGCTCCGCAGTACAGATCTTGGTGTCTATATGTTCGGCCACAGGAAACTAAAACCCCACAGTAGGTTAGTACTTGTAAATACAAGTACTGTCCTGTGGAGTTTTTTCATGAGGTGCAACACATGTGTAGACACTAACCCAACTGACTGGGGCATGAGGTTGCTTTAGTGAGAGGGCTGCCTACTGGCTAGCCCTGCACTGAAACACCCTTGTGCCCCAGCCAGCTGCTCCATACCACATTGAACCAAGTTGGAGCAGCCCTGAAGTGGCAAGCTGATCCCCTGGGTCCCCTGCCAGCTGAAGCTTCTCTGACCTGGCTCAGTGTGCTGTAGTCCCAGGCACATGTATAAATGCAGTACCTGGGAGCAGAAAACTCCAGCAGGATATGCACTGGAGTTTATTAATGTGCATTAATACATATGTGTAGATGTGCTTGGAGTGTTGTTGGGAAGCTGATGCTAAGGAATCCATTTTTTTTGTGTCACTTCTGAAAAGTAGCATTGTAGGTAAGTAATTTTCCCTTGCCTTCCTTTCTCTGGCTGAGAAAAGGGTGCTAGATGGAGTGGAAATCCCCCCTCCCCTCCCAAGTAATGCAGGAATTCTGCAGTTTTTGTTTTTTTATAGGTGTACTACCTGGCTGTTTGACAGATGGCTCTGATGTATTTACTGAAATTGAACAGCAAGAAATGAAAATACTGAGGGAAGTTTTAAGGTAAAAAATTTATATTCTACCTAATCATTTTTACAAAATAAGAAATAACAGTTCTCATGTTTATTTTACGTGAGCATTTCCTTTGTCTACTAGGTGGCATAAATGTGCTTTTCAAAGTTCTAATTAAGAGAGAATCCAAGTACAACATTTACTGAATCAAAACATTGAGCATCCTGAAGTCAGCCATAACTTTCATCAGTGAAAAATGGTTTCCAAGGGGCTGTTTCATCAGCCTGGGGTTGCTGGCAACTGGAGCACTACCTAGGCCCTGTTCCTCTGAGCTCACCTTCAGTATGTTACAAGGGCTCAGACAATCAGCTTGTTAGTTCAGCTTTCAGCTTCTGCATTGTCAGAGCACCCTGCAGTCCCAGCATATAGAGCAGCCTGTGCATGAAGAAAGAATGAATTTTGCTTTTGCAGAAGGTTTTGTTCTTTTCCACAGCTTCATTGGAATTCCCGTGCAGGGGCTTCTTTCGAGGTGTAGGACAGTGGAGTTTCGGGAGTAGGGAGCCAATGTGGTTATTCTAGATTATTGTTCCTTCCCAAAAAATCCCAGTTGCATAAATAAAACCGGCAGACATTAATAGGCTCAGTTTTCATTAAAGTGTGATAGTTCCCCTCTCTGTTTAAGGGAGCCCTTGCCCTCAACCCTCAGGGGCTGGCTAATGGCATTATGAACATGGAAGAGACCAAGTAATACTCAAAAGCAGATGAAGGCAAGGGACACTATATATTTTCTGCCTTCTGGATATTTCTCCTTTTACTTATAAAAGAAGAAACATCTCCTTTTTGTCACTCACCCTACCATCTGAATAAGAATTCCCAGGAATAAACTTAAAACAAGAGTTTCCTGCACGGGGGCAAATAAGGCCCACTGTTTATCAGGACCAATATTGCAGTTTTTGTTTTGTATTTGAAATAATCAAAGCTGTTTGGAGACTTTGGAAATTTGGGGTTATCATGCCAAGTTTGTCCTCTGATTTAGCAGTGCTAAATCATTATAAAAAAAATCACTTCATATTGAAGATCACAAGCAGCTAGCATGGATTTATGAAAAACAAATCATGTCAAACAAACTTGATCTCCTTCTTTGGCGAAGTAACTACTCGGATCAATAAAGGGAATGCTGTGGATATAGTGATTCTGAACTTCAGCCAGGCTTTTGAGAAGGTCCCACATGACTTTCTAATAAACAATTTGAAGAAATGTGGGCTAGATAAAACTACTACAAGATGGATAGATAACTGGCTTAAACAAAGAGTAATTATTAATAGGTCCATGTCAGAGTAGCAGGAGGTTTCAAGTGGAGTCCAACAGGGCCTGGTGCTGTTCAGTACATTTATTAACAATTTGGATGCTGGCATAGAAAGCTTCCTGAGCAAGTTTGCAGATGACATGAAACTGGGAAGAATTATGAACATGTTGGAGGATGTGAGCGCAATTCAGAAAGCTTTAAATGGATTGGAAAGTTGGGCTAGTGCTAACAGGATGAAGTTCAGTGTGGACAAATGCAAGGTACTACACCTTGGGAAGAATAATCAAACATACAAATAAGAAAAGGGTGACATCTGGTTGGATGGCAGCACTGTGGAAAAGGACTTGGGAGTCTTGATAGATTTCAGACTCAATATGAGCCTGCAGTATGGTATAGCCACACAAAAGGTGAGTGTGGTTTTGGGCTGGATCACGAGAAGTGTTAGGTACAAGACGCAGGAGGTGATAGTGCTTCACTGCTTGGCACTGGTTAGGCCAGATCTGGAGTGCTGTGTGCAGTTCTGGGCTCCACATTTTAAAAAGGATGTGGAAAAGTTAGAAAAGGTCCAGAGGTGGGTAACAAAGATGATCAAGGGCTTGAAAGGCAAGTCATATGAGGAGAAGCTGAAGGAGCTAGGCATGTTCAGCTTGCAAAAAAGAGACACGATGGCAGTCTTCAAATACTTGATGGGCTGCCAGAAGGAAGGGCAGGGGAAGCAGCTTTTCTGTCTTGCTACAGAATGGCTTGAAGTTGCAGCAAAGTAAATTTAGCTGGGATACCTGGAAAAAAGGCTTCTTTACTGTTAAAATAGCAAGGCAGTGGAATAGACTGGCTGTGGAAGTTATGGACTCTCCATCATTGGAGGTGTTCAAAAATAGGTTGGACAGCCACTGGTTAGGGATAATCTATGCCTATGTTCCAATATGGGTATTTCCTATGCTTGTGAGCTTTGCTAGTTGCCCCCTCCCACTCCCCTTGTTACATATGTCAGGGTGTTTTTAAGTCTCCCTCAAAGATATTGGGTGTTGGCTGCATCAAGACTGGGAAGAACTTGGATTGGGTTATGCCAGTGCTCCTGCTGGGGCTAAAGTCAGAGGCTAATGGCTAGAAGGTCTTTCTTCTCTGCTCAGGGTCTGACCAGTCATCATTTTGGAGTCAGGAAGGAATTTAACTCCATGGTCAGATTGGTATGGACTGTGGGATTTTTTCCCTTCCTTTGTAGCAGGGGGTGTAGCCATATATCCAGGATCTCTAGAGCAGGGGTTGTCAACAGGGGTACATGTACCCCTGCAGGTACTTGAGCAGGTTCTAGGGGGTACGCGAGGGTAGCTGCCATGTGTGAGCTTCCCTTGCCCTGTGGGGGTGACTGGCCAGACATGGAGGGTGGGGAAGCTCGCATGAGGCTGCTGCCACCGCTCCGCATCCAGCTGTGTGCCACCCCCTCCCCCGCTCGGCGTCGTGTCGCACGCTATGCCTTCGCTCCGCCCCACAGCTGGGGGTACACTGCTCTGCGTCCAGCTGCCTGGGAGTACAATGATCGAAAAAGTGTGAAAACTCCTACTTTAGAGCATACATTGACAGTATTTCATAGAACCGGGATATTGGCTGCTGTGGTTCACTTTTATCTGTGGCAGGTTAGGATATTAGGTCTATGTTGTATCAGGGTTGAAGGTAGTCTTGTGTAGAGTTCAGAGGGTGGATTGTATAGGATGTTTTGGATAGGGGTGATCCTGCCTCAGGGAGGGAGTTGAACTTTATAACCTCTGGAGGTCACTTCCAGCCCTGCTTCTCTATGATTCTATGACTATCATGCCAAGTTTGTCCTCTGATTTGGCAGTGCTAAATGAATGTAAATCATGTTATTTTGAAGATTCCAGAATATTCTACACTATTTTGTCTATTTTGTCAGGAGGTCTAAGGAAGAATATGAAATAGAGCAAGATAAGAAAAGGACTAAAGAGGTGAGTTCGTTAGTTTTGATTCAGGTATGGCAGTAAGTCTTTAATATCTTTTTTTTTTTTATATCTTTGCCTTGGACTGAAAAGTTTTTACTAAGAACAAATCTCATCCAATCACATACACCTTGCAGAGGAAATAAAAGGGTTGCTAGAGACCGCCTTGTTGCCATTATAAATTAAAGGACCTTTCCTTTTGAAGGTTCAGTTTCTCTTTTAAGAGTGTTGTAATGTATCATTGACCTCAGTAGCATCATTAGCTATAGAGGAAGCAGCCCATTCACATCTCCTGCCAATGTGGTTACCTCTCCCTCATTCCTGCTAAGCCCTTTTTGCTGCCACCACCCAGAGCCTATGCTGGGGCTGCCCCTACGGCTCCTTTCTGCTGCTGCCACCAGAGCCACCTCCAGGCCCCCCAGGCCTGCATGCCTGGCAGGGTGGCAGCAGTGGGGAGGATCCACAGTACAGCCCTGGTGCAGCAGGAAGGCCCCAGTAGTGGTGAAGGCAGGCAGTCACACCTGCTGCCAAGTCCCCATTCCCCCCCCCCCCGCTGCAGCTTCTGTCAATCCACTGCCTCTGCATCCAGGCCACTAATGCTGAAGCCAAGGAGCAGGTCTAGCCTGTCTTCAGGATACAAGGGCAGCCAGAGAGTGCTGGTGGCAGCTGGGGCCCCGGCTGAGCTGCCCCTGCTGAAGCTGCCACCCACCCACACCCATGTCAGCTCCTCACCCATGGCCCCTTCCCATATAAGGAAGTTTGTGGGGTGTTGCAGTTGGAGGGGGTTGGGGGGGATCTGACTTGGCCTGTGACAGCTCTCCAAAACTCCCTATTTGGGCCCATGGGATACTTGTTGCACAGCCCTGGTCTCTTCCCCACTGTCCGCCCCAAGGTGCGTGCGTCAAGCAAAATGCCTTTGTGTGCCTCACTCTGGTGCTGGGGATTGCCTAGCCCTGGCCTAAACTGTACTTCCTTAATGAGAATGTTGTGGGAGACAGTATTCAAAGCCATCTTAATGTCTAGGTAAATAATATCTATTGCTCTCTCCCAGTCCACAAACTTGTTACCTTTTCAGGTGCTTTTGATGAATGCATTTTAACTGTTTCTGATAGTCTTGTCCATGAGGTGTTTAAAAATGGATTCAGTAGTGACCTACTCCACGACCATCATCTCTATGAATCAATGAGAGGTTGATTGGCCTGTAATTCCCTGGACCTCCCTTCTTCCCTTTCTGGAGGAAGGACATTATATTTGCTCTTTTCCAGTCAACCAGGACCTCAGACTTCCATGAGTACTCAGGAGGGAAGAGCTAGTGCTTCTCCAAGTACCTCAGACATGGTCTTGAGGAATGAATTTCATCTTGAAAACATTCAGCTTCCCTAACCTGTCCTTCCCTTCCCTAACTCTAGGCAAATTTTCTTTTCCCACACCTTTGTTGCAAACCAAGCTTATCATCTGATGGCTGACCAAATTTGTAGAGACTGAAGTAAAAAAAAAAAAAAAATCAAGTACTTCAGCCTTCTCTGCATTAACTATTATTAGATTGCTTGGTCTATTCCGCCAGGGACCCATTTTCCTTAGCCTTCTTCTTATCCACTCGTAAAATGCTTTCTGTTGCCATTTATGTCCCTTGCTAGCTGCATCTCTATTTGTGCCTCAGCCTTCCCGATCCTCTTCCTGTATACCTCTTTTACTCATCCCTAGCAACATGGAAAGATATCTTGCTAGAAGTGGAAATCTTTTTGGAGTTCCAGCTCATTGAAGAGTTTACTGCTTTGCTCAGCCAGTCTCTCGGTGCACTTCCTATCCTTTCTTTGCATTAAAATAGTTTGCTTTTGCACCCTTAATGTGTTGTCTAAAGTATAACCAGCTCCCCTGGACTATTTTTCCCCTTAGACTTGAGAACCTGCACAGCGGTTACCAGAGTTTATTAAAAATTTTGGCTTTTGGAAGTCCCATGTCTTTATTCTGCAGCTCCCCTTCCTTCCTTCCCTTAGGATCTTGAACGCTTTTCATTTCATGGTTACTGTCACCCAAGTTGACTTTCACCTTAAAAAATTCCTCATTCTTCACCATCAGCAAGTCATGAAGAATTTAATTCCTTCTTGGCTTCTCCAACATCTTCACAATGTAGGTGATAAGGGTGGCAATCACTGCCAGGATTTTTCAGGTTAAGAAATATATATTCAAGGCCCAAGACTAGATAGGGACGTGGTCAAGGTGAAAGAGGCTTCAGGCTAGAGAGATTAGAGCCATCACAATTATGAGGACATTTGGGATAAATTGAGAAAAATCGTATCTTGATGCCTTAAGACAAGCACCTGAAGTTAAGCATCAGAGAATTGCAGTTTCTTTCCTAGACACAATGTCACTCAATCCTTAGAGCAAATACACCACACACTTGCAACCTCTCCCTCTCCCCTCCACCTCAACACAGGACACTGACCACAAGTGGGCTGGCTAAGATGTCAACGACTAAGGAAATATGTATAGTGCTGCTTCTGTGATCTTAAGAAGAAAATCAAGAAGTATAGCCTGTGCCCTTGCTTCCATGCCAAGCATGGCAGTGGGACACTGAAACTGTCTCATGGGCATCTCTGATGTCTGCTCTCAAGCATCTGTATCTGGCATTGTTTGAAGTAGTGTCAGAAGTGCCCACAGGGCTTCTTGGCTGTCTCATGCCTGGAGTTGATACTTGTGGAACAGAAGTAGGTGGGTGAGGTGTACTTCTCCTTGTTATTCTCAGGAGTGTTGTAGAAGTGGTGTGGACATACCCTAAGAATTGTTCCAGACCCAAACTGAGATTCAGGGAGCTAGGTTGCTCCCAGGGGTACCAAGACATGGCCTGGAGAAGTGTGATGATTATAAAAAGTTCTTCACCAAGGAAAGTTATCACAGGAAGCTGTGAAGAGAGGTTGTTTCTCACACATGACCATTTTATTTCTGTATCCTTTTTCTCTTCTGAGGTTAGGAGAATCAGAATCAGGATTAAAATAAATAAATAAAATTGCCCCAAATAGACTCTCAGACCAAACAAAGTTCTCAGAACAGATCTTCTAATTCATTTCCTAATCCAGAATTCCAATCCAGAGAAAATGAATGTGGAAGCTTGACTAGATAGAAAGTCCTAAACAAACTGCAGTATTCCTCCAGAAATACTCTCCCAGTGTCTTGCAAGCTTTCTACTCTTGATCTACAAGAGAGGTGGTGATGAAATTCTCTTTCCAGTATCAGTATTAGTTTGATTTTTTTTTTTAAGGAAAAATAAAATACCAAGAAATGAGTCATCCCAGTTCTGCTGGATTTTTTAAGTTCTTACGAACTATCAACATTTGTATCTCAATTCCAAAAAAAAAAAAAAAAAAAAAAAAAAAAAAAAAAAAAAAAAAAA